AAAGATAAAATTGCAACTGATTCGGGTTCCGACCTCACGATAATCAACCTACAGACATGGAGAAAAACTTAACAGACCAACCATGTTACACAATTCAAAAATTGCCAAGTCGATTACAGGCAAGCGATTAAAATTGAAGGGGAAATAATCGTGAATGTTAAATTTCACGGGAGAATAAAAAACTTAAGATATACGCCATGAAAAACACTGAAAATCTAGTAGGTATCGACTGGATGAAAAAGTTCAACGTTTGGGGTCTACCTATCAGTTCGTTTTGTAAGGGTGCAGCTAGAATTAAATTAAAAGAAAACGTCCAACCAGTATGTAAAAAGAAGCGAAACGTGTCATTTGCTACTATAGATGAAAACAGTAAAGAGTTTTACAAGGGAGTAAAGGAACTACCTGTGACTTTGCGAAAGATAAGAAGAGAAGCGGAAAAGGATGAATTTATGCAGAGGACGAAGGTAAAAATACAGTCTGTGTTTGACAAATTATTACCAAACAAGAACAAAAACCACTATACACCTATTGTACCCAAGAGATCATTTAAAACAGGAAGAGAAAATTTACCGAACCTCTGGTTATCGACCATAAGAGAAAAAATACTAACTCCCGCCAAAAGGGATCTAAGGAGCGGGGTGTTAAGGGGTCCACCCCTTTTTCATACAAGTGGACTCGCCCAGTGTGTACTTGTACTGCTGCCGGTGAATACCCGGAAGTCGGAAGTCAGACAGAGTGAGACGGTGATACAGTGAGAGAGTGAGAGAGTGAGGTAACCGCTTTGTAGGAGTCACAGCTGCGAGCACGTAGACTCAGAAAGAAGTCCTACTTCGATACTGAATTTCCCAGACTGTATATATATTATTATTGCTACTAACCGCATTTCTGGATTTACTAAACCGTATTACCAATTGTATTATTACGTCAATACATTTATTTACTATATTTCATTCCTGCGTTTGTCATTCATTTGAAATCGGATTTTCATCCCGAATTTACAATGAAAGTGGTACTCAGAAAACGTCCGTAAAAATTTCATCAAGATGAATATTTTTTTAATTTTATTGTAGGATATAGAATTCCGCTTCCAATAAAAAACATGTCTTGGTAATATATTTTCGGGTACACTTTATATTCACTTTAAATCAACCAGACCATATGCGTCAGGAGAAGAGATGTAGAGGTCAGAAAGAAACTATACATATACATGCTTCAGGGCTAAATTTTCAACTATGTTGGATTATTTGATACAATATTTAGTCACCTTTTTTCCACAGTGCAAAGTCACTGGACCCCACGAAGGAAGAGATAAAAAAGAAGACAATCTTTATTCTCTTTTTTCTCAAAAAGTAATTTTCAATGCATATAATTTAAAAATAAGTATATTTCTGTTAATATCAGATGTAAATAATAAGGAATTTCCATTCTTTTTTCTGAATTCAGTTTGTAATGACCAAATATAATCCTTTTTTTTTGGTATCACGCTTTGTACAGATCAACTATAGTTGCCTATACTTTTAGGGAAGTTTCTCTTTTAGTAATCTTTTTTGAAATGATTTCTTTGCTGATACACTTATTTAGTATGTCAACAAGTACTGACATTTCCCCTATTGCTGTAGACACTCTGCAAAACGCATTATCGACAGTCTAAGATCGCAGATAATAATACTTGTCTTTAAGAAGAAATCACTCGTAAAACAAACAACAAGAATGGAGATATCTATCTCTGTTAAAGTGAATCCTATCATTTTCCCACATCGCATCATAACATTGTAATCTATTCTAATTTGTTCTTTTCCTTCGTGTAACATCACAATCATCACAATAGTCTTCCTCATTTGGTTGACGCCTTTGGCATTTTGATTGCAATACTGATTGCAGTGCAAAGTGAGAATGTAGGCCAGTCAAGATACATTTCGAGTCAACATATGCCACTTACTTGTCTAAAAAGAGTTCATAATGACTCTTCTCAGTTCTTCACTCTCCTTTCAGCGTATATGTCTCTCCAATTACATTTCTTATATATTCACTTTCTTAATTCACCATTTCCGACACAACTTATTAATTTTTTCCTTTTGTCTTTTCACTGTACGATATTTCTGTGTCTTCTATTTGTTTGTCTCTCTATACTTAACTATTTTATTTCCTCCCTTATAAAACGTACCATCACATTCTGTTTCTCTTTTCTTTCCCCTCAAGACATAAATCTATGCAATTTTCTACTTTGTTATTTTCCAGTTTGACTTATCATAATACTGTATAATTTGCTTAGATTAGGTGAAGGCTGTCACAAGGTTAAAGTCGAAGTCAAGGATAACATTTCCTGACCAGAAAAACTGAATTCTCTTTTCTCTTGATTCATCCATATTCTATATTCAATTATTAACAAATCCAGCCAAGACCACAAATACGCAGAGATCAATAGTTTTGCCATTGTGGCGTTGCAAATATTGTCTATTGGTCATATATATATATATATAATTCATATTGTTAGAGTTTTTTTATTTCTTGGATGTTTTGGGGAAATGTACAAATCGGTTGCCTTTTTTAAATTGTGGGACTTTTTTTACATATACATTTTAAATATAAAAATATTTAAAATGTAAGTAAATACGAAGAAATAGCTAAATATCAAAATAAGTAAAGATATAATGTATTGTGATTATTTCTTTAACTCTGCACCAATTTCCTGTTCCTCATTATAACAATATTTTTGCAGTTCTTCCAAATTTAGATTTTGACAACTAGTCATGTTTTTAGATATTAATTCGAATGTCTTTCTCTTTAATCATATTCGATAATTTCGCATCAGCAGCTCTGATGAAAATTAAAAGGTTTGTAAATAAGATTGGTGATCTTCTGCGTTTATTCTCTGATAGAGAAAAAAGAAACTTCATCCTCTTTGAAAATGGAAGAAGAAACTTGGTATAAACAATGAAAAATGAAGATCATATAAAAAATACGAGGTTTTTTCTTAACAATAGCTAAACTGTTGTTGGCAGAGGGAAATTATAAAAATGTAAATATATTTAAAAAATATCTCTTATCTTGGAAGATATTGTCATATTTCTACTTAATCCTGCCGAAAGTCAACTGTATTTTCTTTTTAAGGCAACAGGAGAAATATATGAAGATTTAGTGCCAGTGTAACGGGATATCAGGAGAGCATTAAGAATTTGCAGCCCTCAATACTTATCCAAAGAAGAAACACACATAGAAAACACATTAAAAAAAACTTTCAATATCCTTATCACTTCATCTACAACGCAAATGGAAAGACACATAAATTACACGGCCGCAACAAAAACAACAACATTATCCACAATAATAAATAATAAAGGAAAATTCTCAAGAGTGCCGCCATCGAATCTTATTAAAATATAAATCTAAGTAGCAGTGAACTACAAGGGTGAATAACTGTCTCTGAAGAAGGTGTCTGTAGTTTCATTTGTTTATTATCGTTAATTTTTGGTCTGTCCTTGTATTGGTCAAAGGCTTTTTTCAAGTTCTTTTAAGATGTTCGGGGACTCATGAGTCACAAATTTAACTCCCTAGTCATTTGACAATTTTATTGGTTGCTGGGAAAGGGATGTGTGTGTTATGCGTATGTTATCTTTTAATATTTTCAGTATGCGTGATGTGTGTATGTGTATATATTTGTGTGAGTCTGTGTATGTAGGGGATCTCATCATCTCTGCAAGTATGTCTGTCTAGTGTGGATGAGGGTGAGCCAGCCTGGGCACTTTAGGGATGGTATACTTTTCTATGAAGTAACAGTAGAGTATATTCAACTATGCAAAGTTTATAATATCTGAGAGAGAAATATGGGTGTTCTATGGGGTTATATATTAATTCTATCTGTGCTGTTTAATTTACTGTTAAATCCGCCCGGACTAAGTGTTTTGAGGCGCAAAATTCATTTGTTGTTCATGTTCTAGTATTTTCCTAACTTTATCTTTTCTGTCTATTTCTATTCTTGCAATAATAGTGAATTTTGCATGACTATTAAAATCATGTTTTCTAGGCGGAAATTTTGCTCTACAGGTAATAATCTTTCGTGGGGAGGCGACTTAATCCGATTACGATTATTATTAATCCTGTAGTGAAAGGGCCATTCAGATTTCCCCACATATTGTTTCTATCATAGTGTGCATTCTAATAGGTAAATTATATTATGACTTCTACAGTGGTAGATTTTGAAAGTAGATTTAGTGACTGAACTAGTGAACGAATTAGTGTGTTTAATGTGGTTACAACATTGACTCCTTTTGTTGTTACATGGTTGGGAAAATCTTATTGATTTTATTCTTGTCTATTTCGTGTTACTTTGTCGTTTGAAATTTGGTTGCCACCTATGATTTCCTTAAGGTTCTTTGGTTTACGATATGCTAGAAGCCCGAGTTCCTCAAACAAAGTTTTTAGGCCTATTTCCTAGCGACTTTTGATTATCTGTGATAGTGGAGGTAAAGTAGTCTTGGAAGTAGTTACTAGAGGGATGCGTTCGGATTTATTTTTAACTTTATACTTTAGAGTGTCTTCTGTAGGTGTGGGAATTGCTTTATTTATTTGTTTCCTGATTAAGTGTTGTTTATAGCTACGTGTTGGGAATAGTTGCTCGATATTCTTTGTGTCTTTACTTAGTTCTTCATTGTTGGAATATATTTTTCTGAGTGTAAGTGCTTGTGAATAGAGAAGGTTCTCCTTGAGGTATTTTGGATGGGAAGACGTAAAGTGTAGATATATGTGGGTGTCAGTGATTTTAGTGCGCCGCGTCGTTTGTAGTTTTCTGTTTTTTATCGATATATATATATATATATATATATATATATATATATATATATATATATATATGAATTACATAAAATGAAACTCAATTTTACCCTATTTATATAGAAATTTGGCTCTTAGAGAGAAAATTCCTGGGGCTTGTCAATACTAAAAATTTTGATAAAAAATGAATCGTAACATTTTTTTAAAAAACCGAAAATTAAAAAGGATACGAAGAAAAAGGGAGGAAAAAAGAGTAAAAACCCGTAAGTAAGGGAAAAGTTATTTAATAGGGAGATAGAGAGAGAAAAAAAAAGGAAGAAAAGAAAAACCAAAGTAGTAGGGGGAAGAGGAAGAGAGAAACATATACAAGTCTAGACAGAAGTTAAAAAAGATTGAAGAATAACAGTGAGAGTTATATTTAAAATGTTAACTCTACTGAACGTAGGAAAAAAATTTCATAAAGAAATACAAAATCTTTAAAGTTAAGAAGGAGCTTTTTTTTTAAGACAGTAGATTAAAGAAATTTTAGAATATAATATTAATACTATTATTTAATTCTAATATTACACAAAGGAATTTAATATAATAAAAATTTAGATTTTATTAATATACAAACAAGGAAAACCTGATCATTAAAATTAAATAAAGGAAGAATTAAAATAAATAGATCAGTAATAGTCCAAAGGAAATTTTATAATATAAACGAAAAAAAAAAAATTAAATAGATAATAAAAGGTAAAACATAGATTAAAATTAAGATAAAATTTAAAGATTATATAGATTAATTATAGATTAAAATATAAAGGATTAGATAGAACCAAATACGTTAAAAGAATAATTATAGATTAAATAATATACAGATTAAATAAAGATTAAATTATAAATAGATAAAAATATAAAGAGTCTTTTTTACAGAGGGAAACATCAAAAACAAATAAATAAGGATCAATTTTAATATTTTATATTATTAGGATTCACTTGGATTACTTACCCCATGGATTTTTACCTATATATATATATATATATATATATATATATATATATATATATATATATATATAGAGAGAGAGAGAGAGAGAGAGAGAGAGAGAGAGAGACGCCTTTGTTAAAAGGCTACCTTTATCGACTTGATCAGGGCTAGTTTATATACGGTCCTTTTCGCCTTGAAATCTCAATAGACCTTAAGATGTCGACTTCTCCTATTTGTCTGATCGCCAATATTGTTATCGTTTTATAGTATCTAATTAGATTACTCTTCACAGATATTATTTGATTTCGTTTCTGTAAAAACAGAAAGCAATATAATATAAACGTTTGCCCTTTCCCTTCGGGCACTCAAATCAATTTGGTTCAAGTAAAGCTGCCAAGTTAATACTGTTTTATGCATTCTCGGTTTTTTATAAGGTTCGTTGGGCCACCGAATGTTGTTTCATTGTTTTCTGGCTGTGCATAATAAAACTGATCGATGCCTAACACAAAAATGTCCAGGTAACTACAGACAAAGGATGAACGTAAGAAGATAGAAGACGTTGAATAAGAGAAGAAAGATAGAAACTGAAGAAAAAATAAGGAAATGAGTCAAAGCTAAGGGAACGATATTTTATCACTGTATCGATTACTGAGAATGAATTTGTTTTAACAATTACGAGATTCAAAATGTAGCTACCAACTGATGCAACAGTAGCCAATTCTTTAAATTGGTGCCACGTTAAGAGAACCTGGAGAAAAATACATGAATGAAGATGAAAGGAAAATTATGACGAGATAGAGGGAGAGTCTGTGTGTGTGTGTGTGTGTGTGTGTGTGTGTGTGAGAGAGAGAGAGAGAGAGAGAGAGAGAATCGGAAAGAACGAGAAGGAGACTGTAGGAAGAAGCGAGCATGTCATTTGCACTCTGAACGGATAAAAATGAAAAAAAAAATAAACAAAAGCAAAGATATATCTCAAGCGATAATGAAGAATTAAATAAAATGGAAAATGGTGAAATGGAAAGAGAAATAAAGAGAAATTGACTGAAAATGAGAGAGAGAGAGAGAGAGAGAGAGAGAGAGAGGAGGGAGTATAAGAGAACGCAGAAATGGAGGGAGAATGTAAGTCGGTGAGAGAAGAAAAATGAGAGTTAACAAAGAAGTGAGAGTAATATACTGCAGTAAGAAAGAGATACAAGAAAAGAAAAGTGTTATGGGAGGTCAGAGAGAGAGAGAGAGAGAGAGAGAGAGAGAGAGAGAGAGAGAGAGAAATACCCCCCAAAACAAAGGAATTACAAAGAAGTACAGTAAGAGAAAGAAAGTGGAATATAAAAGGAAAACGAATTTCAGAGAGAAAAACTGGTAAAGATAACAGAATATAACGAAGCAAACAAAGAATGAAAAAAAAAGCATTAAAAGTGAAGAAAAAGAACTGAAAAAGATAAGTAATGAACAGAGATAATGTGTAAAGAAGAGAACCAATGGATAGAAGAAAACATGGAAGAAGGAATACAAGAAAAAGAAAGAAACTAATGGCGAGAGAACGAAATGTGGCATATAAAGTGAAGAACAGCAGTAATACGAACAAATGGTAAATGGAATCAAATGGAAAGAATACAGATAAAAATAAGGTAAAACGATAGAAGCATAAAACAAAATCAAAGAAGGTAAATAAAATGGAAAAGTATTTGAAGAACTGAAAAATAAAACCACAAAATGAGAAGTGGTGGAAAGTAAAGATAAAAGAAGAAAAGTCAAGTAAACTAAATGAAAATAAAAGATTGCATGACAGAAAAGTAAGTAAAAACACACACATTGCTTTTTACCAGTCACACATCAAGCTGCTTCGACTGGAAGTCGCCATTTAACTAAATTGCTTTCGTTCTCTTAAAGTAACTCACAAAAACAAAGAAGCATGAATTTTATAAAACAAAAAAAAAAAACTGCTTTGAACCACGACCAAGTGACATTGAAATAGTAAAAGAAATCTAAATTATCCACGTCGTTTTAAGACAATGTAGAACACATGGATAATTCAGATTTTATTCTTTTCATTAAACCAGAATATTGTGCAGTCTATATAAATTAGATGTGGTTAGATTGATTTCCAAAAAAGTAAAATTAAGACGCATGAAAAATCTAATGAATTAAATTACTCCGACTGTATCGTTCATTCTAGTAATTAAATGCATCTTCAATCGTATTTGTCTTCAACGATGAACACACAGAAAACAAATATCTATGAAAATAATACAGTTAAAAAATAGTGTCCGAGTTTTAAAAATAATAATAATAATAATAATAATAATAATAATAATAATAATAATACCTCTCATCTGCATTGGTTCCTATGTAGGAAGTATAGACTTGAAGTCGGACAGAAATGATACAGCCAAAGAAGTCAAGTTCTTATGTGAGTTCAACATCCAAACAGATCGCTCCAATGATACCACCAAACCAGACATCAGCCATTGTTGACCAGAAAAAAAAATGGCTGTTCCTGATGACCATAATATCAAGGTAAAAGAAATTGTTCAGCTCACGAAATATAGCGAGCTCTAGATTGAATTAACCAGCATGTGGGACATTTATACCACGATTGTTTTGCTAGTTATAATTGGGGCGTTGGGGTTTATACCACCGCACTTCATATTCTATATTGAGAAATTCGGAATAAAGCCTATTATCCTATAGCTTCAGAAGTTTGCATTGTTTACAACGGCAATTGTTTTGCGAAAGGTACTGTGTGTCTGAGGATGTCCGATTTGATGATGAGTACCGATAATTGAAACTCTCATGTTGAAAGCGAAAACCGGGCGAACAAAGATAAATGCATTAATATAATAATATATAAAATTATTTTTAAATAGTGTTGATCAATTTTAATTTTATTTTAGTGCAATAAATATTTCATTTTGAATAAATATAGCCTTTAGTGAATAACTGAAAATAACCCCGAAATATGTTTTTTTTTAGAGATTATTGATAAATTCACAAAGCAGAAGAAAGTTTTAACTTATCACGTTTTGTCGACCATGACATTTAAAAATATATTTTTAAAATTATATATATATATATATATATATATATATATATATTAACCATCAACAGCTTAAGTATGCAATCTTGAACTTTTTGTTAAAAGTTCAATTGTTTGTCTAAATTGTCTGAGACACTAAAAACAATGCAGGATGGAAAGGAAAGTATTTTAAATTTCATTGGTGTAAATTTATGTTACAGAAAAATCAGTTTGTGCATTTAATATCACGAATAATGGAAAATCGTAAACATAAATTTTGGAAGGTAGTATAAAAATCAATTAATTTCAACTGGGAATGAAAATAATCACCAAGAGATTCTTATTGTTCCGTCTCAAATGTACATTCGTCATAAAGTATGGAATAATCACAAACAAAGACATTTCTGTTTTACACATATCTAAATTAAATAGTAATTTCGAGAATATATTTATTTTAGAATAAAAAAAAAGGAATACATATTCGAATCAAACATAAATTCACGCATATAGGTTTTCTGTCTCTGAAGTCAATTAGATTCCCATTTTGAAAATATATAGTGCTTTTGAGGTAATTGAGCAATCATCTTTATTTATTAGACAAGAATAATTGACTTTATAAAATTCATCAGATTTAATAGATTTTCCTCTTAAGCGCTTATGGTTGAACAGTAATTAGCAAATTCGTTTCTCAAAGCAATTCCCTAGTGAACCATGATCCTTAGTAAGGTGCTTCAAATTTTAGCCTTGTACCAGACTAAACTAATCCAAGTAAATAAACAGAGACTCTAGGATTAGTTTTTGTTTATCTCGGTCGCCATTTCACACGATTTGTATTGCTAAAAGAAGTAGATTTTTTTTGAGAAGTAAGAAATATAATTACGGTAAATGGCTAAATTAGATAAATGCGTTATTGCACATTATTTGTCAAAATCGAATTGTATTTGCAGAGAAGGAAATACATTTATTCATTCCATGGAATGGCGAAATTTAATTCATCATATAAATCATTGAATAGAATTGTTTGAATTCCGAACATGAGGTTTGGGTTCGAATCTCACATTGATCAATTTATCACAAAGGTGACTCGGGCGCAATACGTTTAGGAAGTCTCTGAAAAGCACAACATGAATTGGCGGCTGATATGTAAAATTGGATAGAGGGAACTGTTCGGAAACCGTAGATGGTTGTGCTAACACAAAGTCATCAGTCATCGAGACTGAGCGTACTGGACTTATTCAAGCTGTTTTATCATAGCAGATTACGCACTCTTTTCAAGAAACTCGAAGGTTTGCTCAGCATAGTTGCAGTATAATGGACCTGTGGATGTTGAAGAATCACAAATGTGCCTGAGAAGACGCCAGTCACAGCGATTGGCTAACCGGCCTAACAAACAGGTGTGCTCAGAAAACGAATATTGGACCAGTATGTATATATATATATATATATATATATATATATATATATATATATATATATATATATATATATATATATATATATGAGTAAATTAATGACAATATGGAAAACCTTTTAGAGACGTGTTTCGTCCCGAGAAGTAACGATTTTACTGATAGAATCAGTCTAATATATAAAAAGTGAGGGAAAAGTGCGGGTTGAAGAAAAATACAACAGGTCCCTATTACAGTTTACATCGTTCAGCATTTAAATTTTGCTGATAGACGTTGTCTCTATGTCAAACTGAGCCGATCACATTCAGCGGTTTATATTTTTGTTTTTAATAATCCTCGCTATATTAGTAGTATTGATGTAAAGGAGATTATGTTGAATTATTCTGGACGTAAATTTACTATAGAGAATTCTGAAATTAGCGAACTTTCAATATATTTCCGACTTAAAACATTGTTTATCCTTTCAATCAGAATCGTATTCTTTAAATTGAAATTATTGTCAGTACTTATTTTATATACATTTCCATATATACATATCTGTATAAATAGGATGTGGAATCCAGACAAAGTTTGATAAATTTGATCAAGTGGAAAACTGTTTTACTGATTTGATGATGCATTTCGCCATCGTTAGATTGACTTCCTCAGATGAGAATGAAAGAAAAGTCTGTTTTTTTTGTGTATGTTTCAATATTAAATCGTTAATACTTTTTATGCTAAGCTGGCGTCCCTCGGTCGATTTGAAAGAACATAACTATGTGATTTTTGTATGAAAGCCGTTATTTAACGTACACATTTTTTTGTTTTGTTGAAATTTAAATTTGCTTTTATATTCTTCCAGCTTTTCTTTAAAGAATGTTATGGTCCTTGTTTTTTATAATTACAAGCTGTATAAGGTTTTTTTTTAATCTGTTAGTACTTTCAACTGTACATACAGTCATCCTCAGGCATGGAAATTATTTTATTTTTAGTAAATCCAGGTAGCATTGGAGACTAAAGATTAAATGCGAATCGAAATATGTTTTTTTAGATATTTGTTATTATTAACGGATAAAAACTTTTGGAGCGTGCGGTCGCAACGCTAAGGCTGACTTTTTTTTTTTTTTTTAAAGTACTGTTGAAAGTACTAGCAGATTAAAAAAAAAAGACCTTATTCAGCTGGTAGTTATAAAAAACAAGGACCATAACATTCATCGTGTGGTTCGTAGGTTAATGCAACTTTAAAATTTTTCTTTTGCGAGTTTTCGCCATTTTATATCATTAACTACTAATCTACTTTTTGTATGAATGATTCATTGTAATATAAATTGAACTGCACCATATATATATATATATATATATATATATTGCTATGTACGGAAATGTAATTTTTGATTGGATCCATGCAATTTATGCAGCGTTTATAGGGAAATATTTTAAAACATGCTCTTTTTACATTTCAGGAGAAACCCAAACATGGTGACAAGAGCAGACAGTGAAAGTAATCTTTTGAACCGATATGAAGAAGCTAAATGAAAGTTCCCAACTTACTAGTCAAGATGGAATTTATGAAGAAATTTGGGAAACATTTTTCCGTTTGAGTCTGAGATTGGCAAACAATATTTGATTTCAAACGATGTCTCGGATTTCAAACTGAAATTATTTTATGCGATCAGCATCTTGATAATGCACATTATAAAATAACAATTCCTTTCAATGATAACACTAATGGACTCATGAGAAAACACGGATTAAAATATGAATATAAACAATATATTTACTGTTTCGTGAATAAACAATTCATATAAAAGAAAATGTTTATAACGCTTCAAAAGATTTAATAGAAACAACCTAACTCGTAAAGATTCGTAATTAAAAATCAATTCACAGAGTTTGATGATATAAGATAACAGAATGGCGCCCTGCGTTTTGTAGCAACAATGTTTCATCTGGGAAACCATGTGCCTTTTTTTGATGAAGAATTTATTCCTTCAACAAAATATATGTATGTGATTGCGTTTGTCCATATGAAAAAGTAATTATTTATTATAGTTCATTTCATCTCTTTATCAATTTTATATCAAAACACATATTTATCGGTTATGCAACCCGAGCTCCCTTGCTAATGGCAGGTATTATTTAATGACTTAAAACAACGGAATATATCATTAATAATCATTAGTAAACAGGACAGATCAGGGTCATAATACGCTGTTTTTAAATTTCTTTTGTTTCATGTTAACTTAAAAAATACTTTTTAAATTTTTAAAAAGAAAGTTCTTCCATACATGCAGCAATAGAGTTGTTTTGGCTAACAATCCGGTATCTGTACGGATAAACTAGTGCATATATATATATATATATATATATATATATATATATATATGTGTGTGTGTGTGTGTGTGTGTGTGTGTGTGTGTGTGTGTGTGTTTCAATTCTCACCTCCAAGGTTTCAATTATATTGAGATATTGTTGAAACTTGAATAAAGCATGGAATAATAATAATACATCACAAAATGTACTTAAACAAGATGTATTGACACAAGAACGTGTACACAATATTTACAGATAGTTTGGTATATTCTTGGGAAGACCGTTCCTGTAGAATGGGTTGACATTAGTCGCAGTCGGGCAGAGTCTCTGGATTGGATCTCTTCTTCCTCCCCTCGTCTTCCCGGTACCAATCATATTTATATGGTCGGTACTCAACTATGTAAATTAGGTGGATCCTACCACAACAGATATGAACTTTATACTGACCAGTCTTTCAAAAATTGAGCATCTTCATTCATTTTGTTGCACGTGACGTGTGGCAAGGAGCACCGTAATGCTGACGAATTTTTCCATCTTCTTAGTCTGGCAAAGATTTATTGCAACTTTTAATGCAACTCCACAACATTACTTATCCACAACCAAATTTTACCGTCTTTGTAATGCCTCTTGAATTCTTTCTTACTCCCATTGGTCATCTAACGTATTCTCTTGCATTAGAACTATTTTGCATTCCTCACTAAAGATTACTTTTTGCCACTTTCCAGTATCCTATATCAGATGATATTTGCTCCTTCAATCTTCCACTACGATGTTTTTTAGTTAATGATGTATTTTTGCTGCTATAAATTCATTCAATTTGATTTTTCGTATACTCTGCGTAACGTCTCAACTGAAACTACACTATTAAGACTAGATTCACTGCTCACTTGTTTGTCTCTTAATTTTGGATTGCCTACCGGGACTATCACAATCTTTCATCTTTCTTTTGTGGCATTCCTGTTTTCTTTGAGCTTAAGATACTTTCAGCAACAGAAAACGTCTGTTGGATGTTTTGATCACTGTTTCTGAAAATTCCCAATATACTGACTGTCTCTCGTTGAGTCATTTTCTCCTTCAAAGTAAAAAAAAATCATCTTGTTTCAGCAGAAATTTTAGCCATGATTTTAGTGTAAGAAAAAAAGTTCTACTATAACAACATGGCAACTTTCACTCGTGGAACAATTCCTGCTTAGAAATGTGCATATTATCATAACTTTATCATCTAAGATCTTTCATTGGCTCAACAGATTTACGTGTCCGTGTTACAGCTTCAAGCTGCTTAAAGCAGTGTATCTTCTGTTACACGACATCTACAAAAACGCAACACCTTATTTTCCAATCCTCAAGGTCCACCCACACTACTGATAGAAGCATACTGTTAAACAATCTTAATAAAATAAAGGTGTATAATAATTTTATACAGTTGGTCCAAAACCTTTTTCACGCTAGTATATATATATATATATATATATATATATATATATATATATATATATATAAACAAAAATTACCACACAAATAACCTTTGGTCTTTTCCTGTAAAAATACATATGCCCTGTTATAATAAATATATCGAACTCTCTGTGGATCAGCTTTAATATCTAATATAAGTCAGATCCACCCGGGTTATATAACAATGGATCTATTTCTTGTACTATCTATCTATCTATCTATCTATCTATCTATCTATCTATCTACGCG